ATAATAAAATTGTTAGTCTTTAAGGTGCCACTGGACTCCTTGTCATTCTTGCTATTTGAAACTTCTTCTTATGAATTGAGTTGGTCAAAAATGAGAACAGAAACAGTGTGAAAAAGTCTGAAATTTGCTAGTTATTTTTCGCTTAACAGAATTCAGAACTGAATCTTTTTTTGTTGTATTGCAAAATATTTTCAGGTTTGTTGTTAATTAGAATGATCAGGGCTCGACAAATTATACAATCTACTCACCCATTGTGAGTAGATTGTAACCCGGAAGAGCTGGGTTCGGGCGATCGCATGCGCAGATCGTCGGACAGCGCGGCTGGCGAGCAGGGCTCACCGTGGTTTGGCAAGCCCTGAGAATGATTATCCAAATTTTGGTCAGTTAAAAGTGTCTGTAAATATTTCTATTAAAATTTCAATTAAAATAGTTCACCAGATATAAAAAATGTCAGTAATTTAATGTCAATAATGTTGGCCTTCTCTACCTGACACCAAGAGGCTTCACAAACAAACAGAAATGTGGCCTAGTCCTACACTGCCAAGCTAATCTCTATCCATTGGCCCCCGTGTACCACATGCTAGTTCAGTCCTGAAAGGATTTGTGTCAACACCGCCTAAGGGCTGTTGGTGACGTAGTGGTGGGATTAGCTGAGGCTGCCAAATTCACTGTAAAAGCAATAAAATCCATCAGATGGAGATGAACTCACAGAGAACGGGCCAGTATTGTCTGTCACGCAGTCACCCCGCTCCCTCCTGACACAACTCATGTTGCAGATAATCCCAGAGAACTACAACCTTATTGGGTTTTTTTGTATTTTCTGGTCACATATAATTTAGTAAAGGGCACTTCAGAACTGGTCAGCACAATCCTGGGGAAAAGCTCATTTCAACCACACTGAAGTCTCTGGAACAGAAAGGAGCGAGTGACCTAAGACATTACTCCCTGCATCACTGCAGCAGCAAAACACTCTTCTCAAAAATAACAGGGGCTTATTTGCAATATATCGCAAAAGCAGGAGACAGTTGAGAACAAGACGACTATAAAATGTCAAAGCAATTCAGTTGGTTTTTGTTGCTTGTTTCGGGCTGGTGATAGGAAGGTGTGTGACAGGAGCAGGTAATGCAGACTTCAGAACTTCAAACTGCCATCACCAGGGAGAAATATGCCCTTCACCTTGCAGTGATATAGCATCTTCACACAGCTTCTCTCTCTATGACAGAATTATTTTGGTGCATTCCCACAAATGAGCCACGGTACCAGTGCATTCTGAGAACGCTCAGGCATCTATTCCAGACTGACCAGCAACGGGGCTTGGGGGCCTAATTCCATCAGAGAGGGCCTTAAGTAAGGAGGAGAAAACTCAGCAGGGATTACCCGGAAGAGCAGTTTTAGTCAATGAAGATCTTTCCAGGATTGGTAAAGCTCAAAAGTAATATACAGCCCTTGCTTTGGGAAGCAACTCTCTGCACCCAATGATAGATTAGGTACTCCTGCAAAACCAATGATGATAGAGGCCCCAATCAAGAACCAGGGCTCCACTGTTCAAGGAGCAGTACAACACACACAACTACAAAATTGCCCAAACCCCAAACTACCTGCAGTCTCCACATCTAACAAATGAAGAAAGCACAAGTTGATGGGGAGACAATTATGACCAGTGTGTCAAGCTGTTCATTCAACCAGCTGTCTAGCTGTTACTTCCACTGATCATACCGGAAATACTAAAATTCTCTGTCTTTCATCCTAAATTATTTTCAGTAATTAGTTGACTGTTAAAAAAAACCCTAGCAACTACTTCAAATAAAATTTCCTTTTTTCATTAAAAAGAAGTGTCATTCTACATAGGTCAAGTTGGAGGGTTTGTAACCCTAAGACATGACATCCGCCCTCTAAAACCACCACTACCTCACTCCTGTCTCTAGAGAGGCTGACCGAAGGAGTTTGATAACGTGGTTTACTGAATTGTGACATTTTAAGTACCTTCAGACAAAAGTGACCTCCAATTAATTGAATGAAAAAACATTAAAAGAATCTGAGGGAAAAAAGGCTAGAGAGACAAAATTTCTTCTCATTTCGTATCACCTTCACCAGCGCATCTTCTAATGGTCCCAGGACTGCATTTTACAGGCTACTAAAAAAAAGGAAAGGCAGCTGTCTTGAAATTTATGAGGAGCTGGGGGAATATATGGAGTGCCACCTTTCTTGTTTCATTCCTCATGCCACAGGCATAAATTGGGTTCATAGCTTGTGCCTTCATTTAACAGGCATATCTATCCAGCACTAATATATCTTCCTCTGCTAGTTTTTAGTACTATTTACCAAGATGCATTCCTTCTTGCTGCCTCTCTTCCCAGGGCATTCTGCACACCCCTAATGGAGCCCAAGAAATGCTCACATTTCCTCCTCCATTTTAAACCCCACATTTCTAAGAATCTTTTATCTGTGTGTGTACCAATCTTCAGGCTGAGGAGACCCAGTTGTGGCTCTCTCCCTAGTCGGACGGAAGGGCTATTATTTAATGGTAGGTGCCTTCAGCAGCTAAAATAAATAGTATCACCACCAAAGCCACAGATGCAGAAAATGATAGGCCAGGATTAAAAGTCACACCCAAGTCTCTGCAGCAGTAGCACATTACACAAGCCCCAGGCCAATATATGCTACAGGGTCTGAGTCATGCCTTTACTCCTTGTGCAAAATTGTTTTCTCAAGACAGCCATTTATTCTCATTCACTGAATTCTCTGCATATGTTCGACAGCAGATAAATCTAGCTGATGAGCCACTGATGCCCAAAGATGTGTAATACAATATTCCACTAAATTCCAGCAGGGAAATCTAATAGAAAAAACATTCATGAGGCAGAAATCCTTAGCATCAAGTGGTCTCTGTTGCTACTGGAATCAATATTCTGAAACTAGAAAAATGAATGAGACTGGATCAGACTGACAGCAAACTACTGGAGAAATTCTTCAAAACAAAACTGAAGAGCTGGTTTTTCATATGGAGCTCCAACCGTGTTAAAAGAGGAAAGGTCCTTTCATAGATTGATAACTGGTTAAAAGGCAGGAAACAATGGTAAGGAATTAATGGTAAATTGTCAGAATGGCAAGAGGTAACTAGTGGTGTCCCACAAGGGTCAATCCTATTTAACCTTTTTATAAATGATTTAGAAAAAGTGGTAAACAGTGAGGAGGCAAAATTTACAGATGATACTAAACTGTTCAAGATAGTAATGATCAAAGCAGACTGTGAAGAGCTTCAGAAAGATCTCACCAAGCTTAAGTGACTGGGTAACAAAATGGCAAATGAAATGTAATGCTGTTAAACAAAAAGTAATGCACACAGGAAAAAATAATCCCAACTACACACACAATATGATGGGGACTAATTTAGCTACAACTATTCAAGAGAGAGATCTTGGAGGCTATGTCTACACTGCTGGGGGGGTTTTTGGAAAAAGATACACAAATTGTGGTTTGCAATTTGCGTATCTTTTTCTGCTTGTTTTTTGGAAGAGGCTTTTCTAACATATGGCCCATCTACACGGGGCCAAATGTCAGAAAAACCTCCTCTTTTGAAATATCCCTTATTCCTCATAAAATGAGGAATACAAGGATGCCGAAAGAACGCGCCCACTTTTTCGGAAACTGTTGTGAAAAAGCGGATGGATTCCCTGGACACGGCAGAGTTTTTCTGGGATACCGGAGTCTAGATATAGCCAGAGTCATTATGGATAATTCTCTGAAAAAATCCACTCCATGTTCAGCAGCAGTCAAAAAAGCAAACAGAATTTTGGGAATCATTTAAAAAGGGATAGAGAATAAGACAAAGAATATATTATTGCCTCTGTATAAAACCATAGTGTAACCCACATATCTAGGCTGTGTCTAGACTAGCCAGTTTTTCTGGAAAATCAGCTGCTTTTCTGGAAAAACTTGCCAGCTATCTACACTGGCCACTTGAATTTCCGCAAAAGCACTGACGATCTCATGTAAGATTGTCAGTGTTTTTGCGGAAATACTATGCTGCTCCCATTCAGGCAAAAGTCCTTTTGCGCAAAACTTTTGCGTAAAAGGGCCAGTGTAGACAGTCCAGATTTGTTTTCTGCAAAAAAGCCCCGATCGCGAAAATGGCGATTGGGGCTTTTTTGCGGAAAAGCACATCTAGATTGGCACGGGCGCTTTTCCACAAAAAGTGCTTTTGCGGAAAAGCGTCCGTGCCAATCTAGATGCTCTTTTCCGAAAATGCTTTTAACAGAAAACTTTTCCGTTAAAAGCATTTCCGGAAAATCATGCCAGTCTAGACGTAGCCCTCGTGTGGTTACTGAGCAATGCAAGTAGTACCTATACCACAGCAACAGTTAAGATCAAGAGACCTCTACTGCATGACCTGGGAGCCAGCTGGCTTTTAGCTCAGAGGGTAGCAGCTCCTATACTTTGCTTTAAAGGTCCCAGGTTCAAATTCATCTGGTGGCGGTTACAATAGCATGCCTGCATCTATTGTGTACGGATGTGGTCACCTCATTTCAAAAAAGATATATTGGAATTGGAAAAGGTTCAGAAAAGGGCAACAAAAATGATTAGGGGGTTGGAACAGATCCCATATGAAGAGAGATTAAAAAGACTGGGAATTTTCAGCTTAGAAAAGAGGAGACTCGGGGGGGATATGACAGAGGTCTATAAAACCATGACTGGTGTGGAACGAGAGAATAAGGAAAAATTATTTACTTGTTCCCATAATATAAGAACTAAGGGTAGCCAAATGAAATAGGGAGCAGATTTAAAACAAACAAAAGGAAGTCTTTCTTCACTCAGTGCACAGTCAACCCGTAGAACTCCTTGTCAGAGGAGATTGTAAAGATCGTGACTTTAACAGGGTTCAAAAAAGAACCAAATAAATTCATGGAGGTTAGGTCCATCGTTGGCTATTAATCAGGATGGGAAAGAATGGTGTTCCTAGCCTCTGTTTCTCAGAGGCTGGAAATGGATGACAGGAGAGGATCACATAAGAATTACCTGCTCTCTTTACTCCTTCTGGGGCATCTGACATTGGCCACTGTTGGAAGACAGGATACTGGGCTACATGGACCTTTGGTCTGACCCAGTGTGGCTGTTCTTATGTTCATCAATCTGGGTACAAAACATATCAGATCTAAATAAAATAAGAGGCAAAATTTGTACTAAGTAGCCAGAATTTGGAGGTTTGCCATGTTGTTTCTATTAGGAGAAACTGATGATACAGTAAGGTATTTTTTGGATGCAATCTTGTTTATTTACAAAGTCCCATCTCCTTGAATATAGCTGGTGACAGTTTCTTTGCTCAAAGGTCCAAGCCTTTTTTCCAGCCAGAACTCTGCCTAAAAACATTCCCAACTTTTTCTCAGGATCACCCAAAACAAGTTCTTCCCTAGATTTCTACAGTGCTTTCTTGTTGCCTTCTCTATCCGTTTCTGTGATTTTTTTCCTGCTTTTTCCACATACAGTTCTCTCAAACAATATTCAGAGCCCTCCATTTTCTTTAAGCCTCCAGAGAAACAACTCTGCCCAATATAGCTCAAATGCCTGACCAGCTTTGGATGTGGCCTAGTTTGGTGCAGTAACTCCAATATTTTTTCAGCTACTGTAGTCTACAAAGAAATATAACGGCTTCATATATTTATCCTGAATGAAGGATGGCTAGTGTCCATCGCTTCAGTGAAGTTTCACCCAGCCCCCAGCATAGCAATACTATATTGGCACATAAAATGAACTGCCTCATAAGCCTTCTTTGAGTTAGGAAAAGATTTTCTAACATGATTAATGATTTTGGGTGAGAATCACAATGAGGGCAAGTGCTCGGCACTATATGAAAATCAGTCCCTTTTAGGACACCACAAGTTGGCTTTTGAGAAATCTTAAATTCCTTTTTCCATAATGGAGAAACAGATGAATAGAGAGGTGAAGTGACTTGCTCTAGGTCTCACAGGAAGTTTATATTAGAACCAGGAAACGAAACCCAATAAACCATGCACAGTTGTATGCCCTGACCACAAGCCAATCCTTCCTCCACCTTCCTATCCCTAAGTGATCGAGATCATTAGGCACAATTAAGGATTAATATGGAAGCTGCTTTTTCTCCTGAGACTTGTATGCAAATGTTTCCTAATTTATCCAAGCAAAACCTGATATGTTGGCAAAAACTGGGTGTGTGCATAAATCAGCTCGGCTCCTATATTCTAACCCTCTGAACAACATATCATCTCTTGAGTGGGATAAATACCTTGATTATTACTATAATGAAGCTAATCAATTTTTCTATTGTAAAATAATCCCTCTTTTGAACCTTTCTGAAACGCATGACTTCTCCTCCAAGGAATCTAGTGTTAAAGATCTCTTTTTACTTGAATTTCAATAAGTCATCATATTTTCCCCTAGTTTTCTTTCTGTATGGGTTATCCTTTGATGATCTAGTTTACATTTATGATGATCTATTCCCCAGTGGATTAATCACTCATCTAATTTTCTTTATTAATTGGACATCAACGTTTGCATTAGAGATGACAGCGTTTGCATTAGTCTCATAATGTTAGACCTGGCAGCCTGGTGCTATGATAAATACTTTTCAGTTCCAGAGGTGAACTTGTACCTTGTCCCATTTAAATGAAAAAATTTTAGGCTCTTGTAACTCTTTTTCACTGGGTTGGTTATTCTTTAGGGTTTATCACCATATTGGTCTCTTAAGCTATGTCTATACGTTATAGTTATTTCAGAATAACTGATGTTATTCCGAAAAATCATAGTTCGCATCTACACAGCAAGCAGTTATTTTGACACCATGTGGAAATAATGTTGAGCTGGAGGACTGCTTACTCTCTGACTCCTGTAACCCTCATTGTACAAGGAGTAAGGGAAGTCGGGGAAGAGTGCTCTTTCTCGAAATAACTGCTGTGTAGACCGCGCCAAAAGTCGAAATTAGCTATTTCGACTTAAGCAACGCAATTAGAATAGCTCAAGTTGAGTAGCTTATTTTGAGCTTAGCCCTGCTGTGCAGATGTGCCCGTAGAAAGCATTTATAAACATCTTCTCAGAAAAGCACTGTTCTATATGTACGAATAGACAACTCAGTTGTAGCCAGGAACAGACAAGGATTGTGACTCTTCAGTCCCAACCTGGTTCTCTCCTTGCACTAAGAAGATGGGCATAATAATCTCTACCAGCCCAATACCTAGTTCAGATGACTTCTCTCTGTGTGCTGGCTTAGCTGTGCTGGCTGCTGGGCCAGGTGCAAGAGGAACCTTGGCTATGTCACTTCCTACAGCTAGCCTGCCTGCTCCCAACCAGCCACTCTGTATTAGAGGGGGTAGCAATTGGCACAGGGAAATATGAAATGGGAGCAAAGACACAAGCACAATCTTGTCCATTGATGTTATTCCAGCAAAATGCAGATTTTTTCCTGCCTCAAAGTTTCCCCTGCTTCTCTGACTCAGCGCCATCAGCAACAGATTTGGTATCCACTAAGTAAGTACTTATGAAATTCTGCAAGCTCTCAGTTTTACAGTGAAGAGGAACCTATCTCTCTTGCCATTCTGAGATCATAAGTATTTGTCCCAGTCACCATGCTGCTATCAGGAATGGAGCATAGAAATATGATGCAAACAAGCAGGAGCCATACTTTTTCAATTGGGAGGAAAAGTCCCCTGAAGATCTGTTGGGTAAAATTGAGAGCCCTAACTATAGAGGGGTTTTTTTCCGCTTTTCCTCAATTGTTTTCAATCAGTGCTACAGCTGCTACTTTGAAACTTGTCAAGAAAGACATAGTTCTGAGCCTGTCATTGTATGAAATCCAATCTGTTTCTTTCACCCTGTGAAATTCAATATTTCCCTCCACTCAACCCTGATCAGATTGGGAGAGAAAAAACATCCTCTCTGTGCAATTCCACTTTAAAAACTTATTCTACCTCGTTAGAAGAGAGATTCCATTTTATTGTATTGTATTTCATGAATCACTGTCTGTCTCTACCTCCCCCACTCATACTTGGATCAATGTGACTGGATCTACAAAGGAGAAGAATTAAAGATGCCAGTGTAGTTTAGGCACAACAATACTAAGTGGATTTATTTCTCTTCCCGCCCACCTTATGTCCTTTACATTGCTCACACAGACCTATAAGTACCAAACATTCCTTTGTCCCATATATGCTTCACTGTGAATGCACCTCTCATAAAACACCAACCTTCTGCACAAATGGACTTTACTAAAACAAGACAGGAGATCTACATTACACACTTCACTTCTCTACAGAGGAAAAAGGACTGTAAGCTGTCTAAAATCCTACCTGCCACATGGGGCCACAACAATGGTACCCCTAACTCACCCAGCAATATCGTCAATCTCTCCAACTACACACTCAGCTCGGCAGAAGAATCTGTTCTATCTCGGGGACTCTCTTTTTGCCCCGCCACCCCCACTAACATGATACAGTTCTGCGGTGATCTGGAAGCCTACTTTCGCCGTCTCCGTCTCAAGGAATACTTCCAACACGACACTGAACAGTGCACTGACACACAGATACCTTCCCACCAACAGCACAAGAAGAAGAACTCCACATGGACTCCTCCTGAGGGCCGAAATGGCAGTCTGGACCTCTACATAGAATGCTTCCGCCGACGTGCACAGGCAGAAATTGTGGAAAAACAGCATCGCTTGCCTGGTAACCTCAGTCGTGCAGAACGCAATGCCATCCACAGCCTCCGGAACAACTCTGACATTATAATCAAAGAGGCTGACAAAGGAGGTGCTGTTGTCATCATGAACAGGCCTGACTACCTAAAGGAGGCTGCCAGACAACTCTCCAATACCAAATTCTACAGGCCACTTTCCTCAGATCCCACTAAGGAATATACTAAGAAACTGCACCATCTGCTCAGGACACTCCCCAAACAAACACAGGAACAAATCGACACACCTTTAGAGCCCCGACCAGGGTTGTTCTATCTATTACCCAAGATCCACAAACCTGGAAATCCCGGACGCCCCATCATCTCGGGCATTGGCACTCTTACTGAAGGACTGTCTGGCTATGTGGACTCTCTGCTCAGACCCTACGCCACCAGCACTCCCAGTTACCTTCGTGACACTACGGATTTCCTGAGAAAACTACAATGCATAGGTGATCTTCCAGAAAACACCATCCTAGCCACCATGGATGTAGAGGCTCTCTACACAAACATCCCACATGCAGATGGAGTACAAGCTGTCAGGAACAGTATTCCTGATGATGCCACAGCACAACTGGTGGCTGAACTCTGTGAATTTATCCTCACACACAACTATTTCAGATTTGGTGACAACATATACCTCCAGACCAGTGGCACTGCTATGGGCACCCGCATGGCCCCACAATACGCCAACATTTTTATGGCTGACCTGGAACAACGCTTCCTCAGCTCTCGTCCACTTACACCCCTTCTCTACCTACGCTACATCGATGACATCTTCATCATCTGGACCCATGGGAAGGAGACTCTGGAAGAATTTCACCATGATTTCAACAGCTTCCACCCCACCATCAACCTCAGCATGGACCAATCTACACGGGAGGTCCATTTCCTGGACACCACGATACAAATAAGTGACGGTCATATCAATACCACCCTATACAGAAAACCTACCGACCGCTATACTTACCTGCATGCCTCCAGTTTCCATCCCGGACACACCACACGATCCATTGTTTACAGCCAAGCACTGAGGTACAACCGCATATGCTCCAACCCCTCAGACAGAGACCTACACCTACAAGACCTTCAACAAGCATTCTGTAAACTGCGATACCCACACGAGGAAGTGAGGAGACAGATTGACAGAGCCAGACGTGTACCCAGAAGCCTCCTGCTACGGGACAAGCCCAAGAAAGAAACCAACAGAACACCACTGGCCATCACCTACAGTCCCCAGCTAAAACCTCTCCAACGCATCATTAGTGATCTTCAGCCCATCCTGGACAATGATCCCTCGCTCTCACAGGCCTTGGGAGGTAGGCCGGTCCTTGCCCACAGACAACCCGCCAACCTGAAGCATATTCTCACCAGCAACTACACACCGCACCATAATAACTCGAACTCAGGAACCAATCCTTGCAACAAACCTCGGTGCCAACTCTGCCCACATAT